GCAAGTGAAGGAGGCTGAATGCGCTGCTGCTCCTACCCGGCGATTTTTGTTAACATAATCGAGCCTAAACACCCACTTCGAGTCACCTTGTTAAAGAGACTCCAAGCTCTGCGAAGCTAACTCTGAAACTCTTTTAGGGGATGTAAGCGCGAGAAGCATGGTGAGCTTCAGAGTGAGCTGTCGGGTGGAGAGGTACTCGTTATCGCCGAGGTTATGGAGGAACTGTACCACTTGCGATACGTCCCACACGGCGTTATATCGCGGTCTGGACGGACGCAGCCTGAACACTCCTTTCAAACCTTGCCAGAAGGAGTTTATCATCTTCGGTCTGTCTAGAGCCCGTCATACCTTCTTGCTCCTCAAGGCTGACTTATAAGTGTTAACTGCGGAAAAACTCGCTCCTTTTAGAAACATTTTCGAGAGAAAGTTAATGATATCTTGGACCCTAGGCCTAATGTGGTTAATGTTGCGAAGTGAGCAGAACGCGGACCATTTGCTCAAGGCTGCGTCGTATTGCTTCACCGTGGCCTCCGACCAGTTGGCCATTAGAACGTTAACCGAGCTAGCGTATAGGCCTGCCTTCTTCCAAGAGCCGATCAAATGAGACATGCGATCAGTTGAAAGCTCTTTCTCAGAAGACAAGGGTGTGGCCTTCCCGACGAGTCGATCAGTAAAGCCGGATGGCTGTTGATTCGCACAACCTCCTTGGTGTGTTGTTGAATCAACGGCCACCAGGGTTGACTTGGCATGCGAAAAGATCTATGTCGGGGTGCCCCATTTCCGAAAGAGAGACCGTACTATCCTCTTCAATCAAGGGAGAAGTCTGAACAATCACGGAAAGTTTCTAGATAGGAAATCAGCCTCTGTATTTTCTGCTCCCGCTCTGTAGCACGCTACAATGTGTAGACTACGTTTGGCTGCCCAGGAAGCTATGCTGCGAGCGATCAAATTCAGGCTGCAACTCTTTGTACCGCCCCCTTGTTTAGATACCAGACTGCTGAGGTGTTGTCCAGCTCCACCCTAACGGACGCATGTGAGAGGCGAGCCGCGAAACACCTGAGTCCGAAAAAGCAGGCAAGTAATCCTTTTCATTGATATGGAGGGTTTTCTGCTCTTGGCGCCATCTGCCGCATGTCCTGTCTGTGCCGCATGTTGCTCCCCAACCTAGGTTTGACGCATCGGAGGTGACTGTCAAAGTTGGCGCACTTATGACGATCGGTTCCGAACAAAACCTTGGAAAGTCTGACGTGAACCACTCTAAATCTTCAAGGCACTTGGACGGCAGAGGGGCCTCGAGCTGATACTCTGAAAAATAGGTGGGTCCATAGCTAGCGATCCACTGCTGTAGGTTCCTCAGAAAGTGGATGGATAGTTTATTAGCAATTGATAGGGCTACGACTCTACCCACGAATTCTGCCACCTCACTCAGCCGTACTATTCTACGATCAGCTAGCCCCCAGCTTCCTGGCAGCAACGGGAGACCTTTTCTGGAGGAACCAGAAAACGATACTTCACAGTGTCAATGGTAATGCCGAGGAAGTCCATTGACTGTGACGGAGTGAGTTGTGACTTTTCATAGTTGATCAGGAAACCTAGTCTTTCAACAAAGTAATGGCGCAATAGATCTTGTTCAAGTTGTTCGGATCTGTCAGCGATGAAGATCCAATCTTCTAGGTAGAACTAAAAGTCTCAACCCCTTCCGCCTTAAGGCTCCTGCTACGTGCTTGGTCACGCGAGTGTAAACATATGGTGCCGAAGATAGACCGAAAGGTAGAGCCTTAAATCGAAACAACTTATCTTCATACTGGAAACATAAGTAGTTCCGATGACTTTCGTGGATAGGGATTGCAAAATAAGCGTCCTTCATATCTACTTTAGCC